GCACTTTGGGAGGCCGAGGCAGGCGGATCACGAGGTCAGGAGATCGAGACCATCCTGGCTAACACGGTGAAACCCCGTCTCTACTAAATTACAAAAAATTAGCCGGGCGCGGTGGCGGGCGCCTGTAGTCCCAGCTACTCGGGAGGCTGAGGCAGGAGAATGGCGCGAACCCGGGAGGCGGAGCTTACAGTGAGCCGAGATGGTGCCACTGCACTCCAGCCTGGGCGACAGAGTGAAAAAAAAAAAAAAAAAAAAAAAAAAAAAAAAAAAAAAAAAAAAAAGAAAGAAAGAAAAAAGGAACATGCAACAATGAGAAAGAACTCCAGAAATCTGCACAGGCGTTCAACTGTAGTCTTTGGCTCAATACTATCATGGATGCATAAAGAGAGACTCTACAAAGGTGGGCCAAAAAATAACTATTGGCAAGCTGTTAGTTGACCAACTAATGGATCTTGCAAGAGACAGGGATACATCTAAGATCTGATCAAGCACAGAAGACAGACTTTGTTGTCATTTAATAGAGAACCCAGAAAAGCCACTCCCTGGAAATAGGAACAAACTATTCCTAGAATAAAAGCTACTTCAAACTTATCCTAACAAAGCTTAAAAACAAGGCTCAAAAGGGTCAAGCTGATCCACAACTTGCTCAACTATCTAACAAAACAAAACTCCATACTTTTTTAAAAAAAATACAAACAGTTAAACTGTGGTATATCCATACAATAGGATAGAATATAGTAATAAAAAGGAACAAACTATTGATAAACACAACAATCTGTACAAACTTCAAAAAAATTATGCTGAGTGGGAAAGTCAATCTCAAAAGATACTACCTGCATAACATGATTCATGCAACAATTATGAAATAATCTAATTATGGAGATGGAGAACCAATTAATGGTTGTTAAGGATTACAGACGGGGGAGGGGATGAACATGGCCTTAAAGGGATAGCACAAAGGAGTCTGGTGATGCTACCACTGAGTATCTTTGATTGTAGGGATAATTACACAAGACTACCCATGAGACAAAATTGCACAGAATTACGCACAGGCACACACACATGCACGTACATGTAAAACTGATGAAGTCCACATAAACTCTAAGCATTGTACCAATATCATTCTTGGTTTTGATGTTGTAATATAGCTACACAAATTGTGAACACTGAGGGAGACTGGGGGAAAGATGTCCAGGACTTCCCAGTACAAACTCCTGTGAATCTACAATTATTTTTAAATTAAAAGTTTTTTAAAAATCCAGACACGGGTGGGCACAGTGGCTCACACCTGTAGTCCCAGTATTTTGTGAGGGCAAGGTGGGAAGAATCGCTTGAGCCCAGGAGTTTGCAGTAAGTCTGGGCAATGTAGCAAGACTCCATCTCTAATTTAAAACAACAACAACAACAAAGAGACACTAAGTATTAATCAAAATGTGAAATATCCAATTAAAAACCACTAACTAAAAAAAAAGACCAAAGAGAAAAAAACCAAAGCACTAACTATAAAGAAATATGACAAAGAGGAAAATTCGTTCAAAAAAAAAAACTCAGAATGAGAGATAATGGAATTAGCAGACAAGGATTTAGTGTCTTTATATTGTAAATATGTTAAAAGAACTGTGGGGAAAATATAAGCATAATAAGGAGAAAACCAGAAACTGTAGAATGAGGGCAGGGGAGGGACAGGGAAGGGAGGAGAGAGGGAAAGGGACGAGAGGGGAGGAAACTTCCAGAATTGGAAAATGTAATTTCTAAAATGGAAAAAAAAATTATAAATATATATCTCACTGGACTGACTTAAGAGGAGATGAGATACTGCAAGAAAGAATATCAGTGAACTTGAAGACAAGGGAACAAAAACTATCTAACTTGATGTTTAGAGAGACAAAGAGTTTAAAAAAAAACAAAACCAGAGCCTCAGTAACCTATGAAACAGTAAATAAAGAGGGGAGAGGAGACAGGAAAAAAAAAAATTTGATGAAATGATAAAAAAAACTTCCAAATTGATAAAACTCTAAACACAAGTCTAAGAAGTTCAACAAACACCAAGAAAGATATACACAAAGAAAAACCCACAAGACACACCACAGTCACTGCTGAAAATCAGTGTTAAAGAGAAAATCTTAAAATCCATCAAAAAGAGACTGATTATATGCAGAATGACTGCTGATTTAACATTAGAAATAACGCAAGCAGGCCGGGTGTGGTGGCTCACGCCTGTAATCCTAGCACTTTGGGAGGCCAAGGCGGGCAGACTGCCTGAGCTCAGGAGTTCAAGACCAGCCTGGGCAACATGGTGAAAGCCCGTCTCTACTAAAATACAAAAAATTAGCCGGGCATGGTGGCATGCATCTGCAGTACCAGCTACTTGGCAGGATGACGCAGAATTGCTTGAACCCAGGAGGCGGAGGTTGCAGTGAGCTGAGATCACGCCATTGCACGCCAACGTGAGCAACAGAGCAAGACTCTGTCTTCAAAATAATAATAATAATAATAATAATAATGCAAGCTAGAAATTATTGGAGTAACTTTTTTAATGCTGAAAGAAAAACAATGTCAATCCAAATTCTATACTCAAAAAAGATCATTCAAAAATACATTGTCAATGAAGAATGGAAAAGAAAACATCATTATAGTACTGTAGATATTAAGAGTAATAAAGTAATATTATGAGCATAATGAAAATAAATTCAATCGCTTAGATAAAATAAACTCCTTAAAAGGTAGAAATTATGAAAACTATCACAAAATATAGAAAATCTGAATAAGCCCCTTTCTACTGAATAAAATGAATTCACGATTTAAAGCCTTTCCACAAGGAAAATACCAGGGCCAGATGGTTCCCCTGATGTCCTATAAAACTATTTTAAGAGAAGGGAAGAGTACTCAACTCATTTTATGTGGCTCACATTACCCTAATCCTAAAACCAAAGACAGACCAAAAAAAAAAAAGACTGATATTCCTTATGAACATAAACACAAAAATTAGAAAACTGAACAAAGTAATAAATAAAAAGGACAATACATCATAAGCAAAAGAAGTTGATTCCAGTAATAAGAGGCTGGTTTAACATTCTAAAATCATCAATGTAATTCACCACATGCAAAGGGGACAAAAGCCACAAAATCATCTCATTAGGTACAGAAAAAGCATCTAACAAATTTTAGCACCCATTCATGATAAAACTCTCAACAAACTAGGAAGAGACAGGAACTTCCTTACCCGGATAAAATGCATCTACAAACTCCAGTTAACATCATACTTAAAAGTGAAAGACTGAATGCTTCTCCCCTAAGACTGGGAGTAAGGCAAAGATGTTCACACTTGCCACTTTTATGCAACTCTGTAACATTCAATATGATGTTACAGATACCATAACAAGCCAAGAAAAATAAATAAAAGAGACAGTTTGGAAATGGAGCAATAAAACGGCCTTTATTTACAGACAATATTATCTTCTACGTAGCAAATCCTAAGAAATCTACCCAAAATCTACTAGAATAAATGAGTTTAACACAAAGTAACATGATACGAGACTAACATACAAAAATAAAATAGTAGGGCTGGGGGTGGTGGCTCACACCTATAATCCCAGTACTTTGGAAGGCCAAGGCAGGAGGATCACTTGAGCCCATAAGTTTGAGAAAAGCCTAGGCAACATAGCAAGATCTTGTCTCTATGAAAAGTTTTAAAAATTAGCCAGGCATGGTGGTGTGTGGCTGTAATCCCAGTTACTCAGGAGGCTGAGGTGGGAGGATCTCTTGAGCACAGGAGACCAGGGCTTCAGTGAGCTATGATCATGCTGCTGCAATCCAGCTTGGGCGACAGAGCAAGACTCTGTCTCAAAAAAAAAATAAAATAATATGTTGTGTATTAGCAGCAAACACTGTTAGATGAAATTTAAAAAACAATCTCATTTACAATAGCATTTTTATAGTACTTAAGAATCAAGATGTTCAATGCCTCTGGTGAAAACAATGAAACACCCTGAAGGAAACTAAAGACCACCTAAGTAAATGGAGAGAGACATCATGTCCATGAATGTGAAGACTCCACAGTATTAGAATGTCAACTGTACCCAAATTAATCTACAGATTCAACATAATCTCAATCAAAATCCCAGCAAGTTTTATTGTAGAAACTGAGAAGGAACTCTAAAATGTATATGGGAATGCAAAGGACGTAGAATAGCAAAACAATTCTGAAAAAAAAGATGACTGACACTATTAGATTACAAGACATTATGCCAGTTATCAATTTATTGCCTCCGGGTTCCACCTAATCTACACTTCACTGCCTTCTTGGACCCTGTAAACATTTCTCTTTTTGCCAGCTAGTGATAAGCTTTGTCAACAGATGGCTCTGAAGTAGTACTTTTCTTTCTGGTTTCAGGGTGCTTCTGTTCCAGCTGCCAGAGACATGCAAGTGATACACCCTGTGGCGCTCACCCTTCAGCAAAATTTGTTGCCAGTTTTGACTGGTGGTTCCCTACCCACCAATACTAGCCTAGCAACTGTTGACCAGCTCTGGCCCAGGGAAGAAGTTCTCTGATGAGCTGCCACATCCTTGCCAGTAATTTCTGAATACCAACTTTAAAGAAAGGATCCCTATCCAAATTTGTCTCTTTGGTAAATATCTCTCAGCTCTAGGGTATTTTTTAGAATTTTTTTTCCTTCATCCTCTTTTAGTTGCTAATCCCCAGAAATAGTAATTCTTTGTGTTTTTTTTTTTTTTTTTACTGTATAAAAACAGCATATTCTTTATTTTGCATTCTTTAATTTCAGAACAAAATAAACAACAACAAAAAAACATGATACACAACATCCAATTCTGCTGTCAAAGTAGGGAGGGAATAGGGTTTGACGCCCTTGTTTCCTGCCTTAGACACAAGGACTGGAAAGAAAAAATTACTAGACATCAGCAGAAAGAGACAGGTGGGACAGGACCACTCAAAGCTGCAGTGGGAGCCATGGGGCACAAGGTTTCCAAGTATAAACTCTTAATCTACTTCTTCCCTGTGAGACACATTCTCATCGCCCCCAAGGGAGGTGGATCTCATCAGGAACAGCAACACTGAGTTCCTCTGTTGCCACCTCATCTTCATCAATAGCTAACCTAGCTTGATCATGCGGTAGATGCAGGTGGATGGGCCTGAGGATCCTCAAGGGAGAAGCCAGAAGACAGCAGTGTGGTTTCAAACAGCAGCACCACTAGGTCACCGACAGCCTTGTTGTTCTTGTCTGCCTCAGCCTTCTGCTGCAGTGTCTCCACGATGGGGTGGTTGGGGTTGATCTCCAAGTGCTTTTTAGCCATTATACAACCCATGATAGAGTTGTCCCAAAGCATCCGGGCTTTCATGATCCACTTCATATTGGCTATCTAGCCGTAGGTACTGGTCACAATGTGGCAGGGTGAAGACACAAGTCTACTGGAGATTGTCACCTTCTCAACCTTCTTATCTAAGATTTCTTTCACGAGCCTGCAGAAGTTCTCAAACTTTACCTTGTCCTCCTCCATTTTCTTCTTCTCCTCCTCATCCTCAGGTAGCTCCAGACCCTTCTTGGTAACTGAGACCAGGCTCTCCCCATCAAATTCCTTGAGCTGCTGCACACAGTACTCATCAATGGGCTCACTCATATATACTACCTCGAAGCCCTGCTTCCACACTTGCTCCACAAAAGCAGAGTTGGCCACCTGCTCTTTGCACTCACCAATGATGTCATCGATGGACTTCTGTGCCTCCTTCACGCAAGACACATACTCTGACAGAGATATCATCTCATCTCCAGACTGGGAGGTGTGAGACCATAGCAGTTCAGACAGGTGTCGCCAGTTAATGGAGTCCTCATGGATTCCAAGCCACGAGATTTTAGAGAATGCCTCATCTAATTTCTAGTTATTCTCCTTGTCTTCTGCCAGCCCAGAGAAGCTCAAGCCACTTCGTGTTCTTCTTTTTTGTTGTTGTTTTTTTTTTGAGACAGAGTCTTGCTCTGTCACCCAGGCTGCAGTACAGTGGGGCGATCTTGGCTCACTGCAACCTCCGCCTCCCAGGTTCAAGCAATTCTCCCGCCTCAGCCTCCCAAGTAGCCTCCCAAGTGCCACCAAGTCCAGCTAATTTTTGTATTTTTAGTAGAGATGGGGTTTCACCATGTTGACCAGGCTGGTCTTGAACTCCTGACCTCAAGATTCAATCTTGGGCTTTTCTTTGTCATCTTTATCTTCCTCTTCTTTCTCACCTTTCTCTTCCTCATCATCACTGATTTCCTTCTCTGGTTCCTTCTCCAAAAAAAGGGTGATGAGACAGCCTATAAACTGAGAGTACTTCTTCACTACTTCTTTGACCCACCTCTCTTCTAAGTACTCTGTCTGACCTTCTTTAAGGTGAAGGATCACTTTGGTATCCCTGCCAGTGGGCTCACCATGGTCAACAAGTAAATGAAGGAACTCCCAGCAGAAGATGCCCAGGAATACAGTTCTTTGTCATTGTGCTTTTTGATGGCTACTTTCTCTGCCACCAGGTAGGCAGAATAAAAGCCAACACCAAATTGCCCAATCATGAAGATTTCTACACCAGACTGAGAAGCCTCCATAAATGCTTTAGTACCAGACTTAGCAATGGTTCCCAAATTATTTATGAGATCAGCCTTGGTCATGCCAATGCCTGTGTCCACCAAAGTCAGAATGTAATCCTGAGGGTTGGGGATGATGTCAATTTTCAGTTCTTTACCACCGTCCACCGTGGAAGGGTCTGTCAGGCTCTCATAGCAAATCTTGTCTAAGCCATCAGAAGCATTAGAGATCAACTCCTGAAGGAAAATCTCCTTGTTGGAATAGAAGGTATTGATTACAAGAGACATGAGTTGGGCAATTTCTGCCTAAAAGGCAAAAGTCTCCACCTCCCCTTCTCCATGGTACACCTCAGGCATCTTGAAAGGAAAAGGCTTATATAAGTACTACAGAGCAAGGTGGGCTGGGTATCCAAAATGCATATGGCACCAAGGCTAAATGGGGGTGACTCAACAGCTAATTCTTTATACTAAAATTTCATTCTTCAAATTACTGTATGGATTCTGCCTCACAAATGGACCTTGCTTAGCACATGTACCATAAAGCTACAATAATCAAACAGTGACATAAAAATATAGACAGATCATTGAAATGGAAGACCTAAGAATATATAAATAGGTCTCAACATATATAGACCAAGTTAATTCAATGAAGAATGGATAGTTTTTTCAAAAAGTGACGCTAAAAATTTGATATCCACGTGAAAAACATTACCCTTAACCCTTACCTCTATCATAAAGAAAAATTAACTTGAATTGCAATATAGACTTACATGTAAAACTATAACTGGAAACATCTAGAAGAAAACTGTCATGGCCTTGGTAGTCAATGCTATCTCAAGAAACAAAAGCAAAAACTATAAAAGAAAAAAATTTTTTCATTAAAAGGGCTTCTTAAAAATTTAAAACTTCCACCCACTGAGAAATAGTTAAAAAAAAAAAAAAAAACAAGCCACAGTCTGGGGGAAAATATTCGCAATACATATGGTCTGACAAAGAACTTCTGTTCAGGATATCTTTTTTAAAACCTCTTACAAATCAATAATAAGACAATCATTCAAAGACAGTCAACAATGTGAAAAAATACTTCACAAAGAAGATATACAGGTGACAAACAAGCATATGGAAACCTACATAACATCATTAGTCAACAGAGAAATGTGAATCAGAACTAGAATAATGTATTATTACATACCCTTTGCTAGAATAACATCTCCAAATATTAGTAGGATGTTGAGTACCTGGAACTCACACACTGCTGATTGAAATGCAAAATCGCAACATTACTTTGGAAAACTGTTCAGCACTTTCTTATAAAGTCAAACATAAAAAACTGGGCTGGGCACAGTGGTTCATGCCTATAATCTCAGCGCTTTGGGAGGCCGAGACAGGCAGATCACTGAAGGTCAGGAGTTCAAGACCAGCCTGGCCAGCATGGTGAAACTCCATCTCTACTAAACATACAACAATTAGCCAGGTGTGGTGACAGGTGCCTGTAATCTCAGCGATTTGGGAGGCTAAGGCAAGAGAATTGCTTGAACTCGGGAGGAGGAGGTTGCAGTGAGCTGAGATCGCAGCACTGCACTCCAGCCTGGGAAACAGAACAAGACTCCCATTTCAAAACAAAAACAAACAAGGCCAGGAGAGTTGGCTCATGCCTGTAATCCCAGCACTCTGGGAGGCCGAGGAAGACTCCCTCTAAAAACAAACAAACAAAAAAACCTTATGACCCAGCAATTCTACTCAAGAAAAAAGAAAACATAAAGCATATATCCACATAAATAACTGAACACAAATGTTCGCAGCAGCTTTATTTATAATAGCCAAAAACTGAACATAACCTAAATGTCTATCAACAAGTAAAGGGAAAGATGTATTTATATAATGGCAAACTACTCAGAAATTAAAAAAAGAAAACACACCAACTACTGAAAATATGCACTTTTGTTAAGACACAAAAGAATGAAGAGTCTAATTCCATTGATACATAATTCTGGAACAGTCAAAATCTACCTATAGCGATAGGAAGCAGATCAGTAGTTGCCTAGGGTGGAGACTAAGAGTAAAAAGTAATGAGGGAATTTTGTGATATGATGGAAACATTCTTTATCTTGATTTCAATGGCAGTTGTCTAAGTATATACATTTGTCAAACGTACCTCCAACTATATACCTAACATGAATATATTTTATGTAAATAGGAGTCAGTAGTATACATTTACTAGCTTCAAAATATTGTGTCCATTCTTAAACATTGTCTATTTTCTCTTTTCCTTCATTTCATGTCAATCTTGGCACCCTTTTATTTTGAGGCTGTACTCACATTCCTCTTGCCAAAAAACTCCCAGGGATTCCCAGGTACTGTGACAAGGACTCCAGGCTTTCTCCTTAGAGCCTTAGGGACCCAAGCTACTGCTATAAGTAATCAACAAAGCCAAATACATCTTCTAAATGGGAACTTCACAAACTTAAAAATAGACTCTCCTGAACAAACAAGTATCCTGCCTCAATTTTTGCTGCCTATTATGTATTTTCATAAAATTATTTGTGAAAACTGATAGGAAATTCTGGGCCATATATGTGACTGTAAATACATAGATTCTATTTATAAAGGATCATACTATTTTGAAAAATCACTAATTTATCATATCTACATATTTACAGTTACTATAAAAACACTATCTCGCCTGTAATCCCAGCACTTTGGGAGGCCAAGGCGGGCGGATCACGAGGTCAGGAGATCGAGACCATCCTGGCTAATACGGTGAAACCCCGTCTCTACTAAAAATACAAATAAAATTAGCCAGGTGTGGTGGCGGGCGCCTGTAGTCCCAGCTTCTAGGGAGGCTGAGGCAGGAGAATGGCGTGAACCCAGGAGGCGGAGGAGCTTACAGTGAGCAGAGATCATGCCACTGCACTCTAACCTGGGCGACAGAGTGAGACTCTGTCTCAAAAAAAATAAAAAAAATAAGAAGATTTACTGTTCAGCAAAAGGGTACCCTGAAACCACTGTTAAGTGAAAGCACTAGTATTCTATACGGAATAAAAAAAAATTGAGGGCAAAAGCGACAAAAAGATATTTAATATAGATCTGGCTGACAGAGCGAGACTCTGTCAAAAAAAAAAAAAAGAATGAAACATCCTGGCCGGGCACGGTGGTGGTGGTAATCCCCAACATTTTGGGAGGCCGAGGCAGATAGATCATTTCAGGTCAGGAGTTCAAGACCAGCCTGGCCAACATGCTGAAACCCTGTCTCTACTAAAAATACAAAAATTAGGCAGGGTGCAGTGGCTCACGCTTGTAATTCCAGTACTTTGGGAGGCTGAGGCGGGTGGATCACCTGAGGTCAGGAGTTCAAGATAAGCCTGACCAACATGGTGAAATCTCATCTCTACTGAAAACACAAAATTAGCCGGGTGTGATGATACATGCCTGTAATCCCAGCTACTGGGGAGGCTGCGGCAGGATAATCGCTTGAACCCAGGAGGCGGAGGTTAAGGTGAGCCAAGATTGCACCACTGTACTGCACTCCAGCCAGGGCAACAAGAGTAAGACTCTACCTCAAAAATTAAAATAAAAATACAAAAATCAGCCAGGTGGTAGTGGTGCATGCTACTCCCAGCACTTTGGGAGGTTGAAGCGGGAAAATCCTGAGTCTGGGAGGCAGAGGTTGCAGTGGGCTGAGATCGCGCCACTGCATTCCAGTCTGGGTGACAGTGAGACCCTGTCTCAAAAACAACAACAACAAAAATTCTATGCTATGCATCCTACCTAAAGAAATATTTATATATCTATTAAGGTGTCTAAGTACAAGCTAGATAAACAACTTAGAAGGAAAACAGAAGTTAAGAACACTTGACGTAGGCCCCTTACAGTCTTAATATTGATTTTTTTTTCTTTCTTTTTTTTTCCCCCCCTCAAGACGGGGTCTCACTCTCTCTCACCCAAGCTGGAGTGCAATGGCACAATCTCAACTCACTGCAACCTCCGTCTCCCAGGTTCAAGTGATTCTTCCGCCTCAGCCTCCCAAGCAGCTGGGATTACAGGCATCCGCCATCATGCCCAGCTAATTTTTGTTACTTTTGTAGAGATGGGGTTTCACCATATTGGCCAGGCTAGTCTCGAACTCCTGATCTCAGGTGATCCACCTGCTTCAGACTCCAAAAGTGCTGGGATCACAGGTGTGAGCCACCATGCCTGGCCAATATTGATTTCATAGTAAGAAAATCATCTCATACTGACAAAGGGAGCTGTCTGGAGACCACATGATGACATTGCTCATGAGGGGTCTCCTCCATTCCCTGGTCCTAAACACCTACAGCACAGCACATTTTGAGTGCCCAGCCCCAACAAGACTGTATCCTGCCTTGGAGCAAAACAGCCCCTGCATCTCCATATCCCTGGAGTCCACTTACATCCCCCAACTACAGCCACTGCTGTGATCCGATGCTGCCCCCAAGCCAAAGTGTAAACCACTGGCAGCAGCAGAGCTGCTGTGCATTTTCATGTGCCCCAAGGTGGCCTAAGGTTAGAATTATAGACACCCACCACCCAAAGCTACCACTCCTGCTGGCTGCTGCCATTGGTGCTAAACCACAAACCATTGGCAGTGACCCTGCTGCCCCAAGCAGTGGAGCTACTACATCTTTACAAGTGTCCTGAGGACAGTCTACCCTGTCCACAGCTGCCGCCTGGGGCCCAAGGACCCACTCATCAACTGACTGCTTATGTCTGGTGCCAGTGAAAGCAACCCTTCCCTCTCCAGTAGCAGGGCCCCACTCGAGCATTCCACTGGGGCCATGGGGATCACCCCATCCCCGCCTACCACAGCCAACACCCACACACATTACTAGTGGGCCTGAGGACAGGTCTACCCAGCCCCCTCCACCACTGTTAACATGTGAACACTTCTCCTAGAGGCCTAGATTTAGCCCACTCAATCTGCCATTAAATACCACAGCTGGTCCCCAACCACATGCACCACCTGCAGGCCTGGAGACTGATCTGCCCAGCCCATTGCAGCCACTGCCAATATCAGCACACGCCACTTGGGAAACAAAGGGTTTTCCCACTATCAACATAAGCTGCCCAGGGGCCTGAGAATCTGCCCACCCAACTGGCCAGCCACTGCCCCTACCAACACCCAAGTAAGCCACCTGGAGGCCCAAGAACCAGCCCACCCAGACCTGCTAATACCAGTGCCAGCATACATTGCCCTGAGGCCCAAGGACAGGCCCACTTGGTGAACCTGTCCCCAGCTAAGCCTCACCGCAGACTCCACTAACAAACCAAACCCTACACCATTGAGAAAATGAGAGACACTACTAACGCTGTAAATAGCCGAATAATTTATACGGAGACTATACCACTGCATGCACCCAGATTAACGCCAAAATGCCCTACCCAATCAACATCATATGCACATCTTCAGGAAAAAGCCCTTGCCTAAGAAAGCAAATTCAAAAAACTGGAAGAAGGGACTGTTATACCATATGCGCAGTAAGGACCCAAGAAACATGATAAAGCAAGGAAATATGACCTCTAAAGTAACACAATAATTCTGCAGCAATAGATTCCAATGAAAAAGAAATTTATGAGATCCCAGAAAAAGAATTCAAAATAATATTTAAAAAGCTAAGTGAGATACAATATGCAGACACAATACCAAGAAATCATAAAATTTAGAATACGAATAAGAAATTTACCAAAAAGACAGATATCAGAGGGCCAGGCTCACATCTGTAATCCCAGCACTCTGGGAGGCTGAGG